TCGTGTTCACCTGTTGGTACCCGTTTTACCTGTTGGTACTCGTGTTCACCTGTTGGTACCCGTTTTACCTGCAAACATCAGTTTTTAAAGCTGTATCTTTTATTGTTTGATTCAGTAAATGATTTTAAATTTTAACATACACTATGTAGCAAAAAGGTATTAGCTCCAACATCCTGATGATCAGATGATCTTTGCAACAAATCAGTCCTGAAACGTCCTAAATATTCCAGTCAGCTGGCAGCTGGATCATAAGAAAGCAGAAAAAGTTTGGGAACGTCAGGAACTCCATGTTACCTAACGGAGCGGGTCAGCAATGCTGAAGCTCATAGTGCAAAGAGGTCGCCATCTTTCTGCAGAATCAATCTCTACACACCTTCAGATCTCATGTTGCCTGCAGATCAGCTTCAGAACAGACAACTTCCTGGAACATGTTTCCATGGAGGAGCTGCGGCGTTCAAACATCACCAAGAGAGAAACGTGGATGCAGAGATGGGAAGCACTGAGCCACTGAATTACCTTCTATTCAGTCTATTTCTATAGCTCCAGAGCTATAGAAATAAACTGAATAGAATTTAATTTAATTAAATATTTACCAGGCTAGTAACTATTTAGCTAGCCTGGTGCTAGCTAAATATTCAGTTGGTTGAATAAATATTTAATTTGAATTGGAGCTATAGAAATAAATTGAATAGAATTGAACTAAGAAAAGTAGGTGGGTGATCGTCCATTAGAGAAAAAGGAAATGTTTAACTTCACAACAATGAAAGTATAACAGAACCTCATTAAAACACGTCTGACAACCAGGACACAGCTTAGGTCGGGGAAGGCTGGACCCGTCAGGGACGACAATGTGCTTTATTGGGATTCTTTGATGGGACAGTCCATCAACTGGTGACCATTTGTGCTGTTTGAATGAGGCAACATTCAGTGGAAGACATGTTGAAGCTACAGGTTACACTGTACAGCCAGTCAGAGTCACAGAATGATTGGACCATCAGGAACATTCATGTTAAAGGAAACCGTCCCTCTTATTTCTACATCAGGTCAAACTGGCAGAATTCAGCTCATTTCCTGAAGAATCAGTTCAACCGGACTGGAATCAGCCAATCAGGGGGCTTCAGTTCTCCATCATATGCGGATCTGACAGATTTCAGGTTGGATCTGATTCTTCAGATGTTTGGAGGCTGTAGAGAAAAAAATCAATATAAAACTCCGACATATTGACGACAGGTTGAGAAGACGTTTCTCTTCCATCCAGGAAGATTTTTCAATCCAAAATGTCAGAAATAGCGTTTAGTTCCAGGTTTTATCCAGCAGCCCAACAAAGCCTGGTTTTAGTTTAGAAAACATGCAAATAGAAACGGATGAACGGGTCCCCCCCTTTGGAATGGGGGTCGTTTGGCTTCTTTGTTAGCATGCAATGCCCCATACCTGTCTATGTCTCTGAAAGGGGGGGGGTTGTTAGAGGGAATAGTTGGCCAGGCTTGTATTAAGCCGGGAACTCAACGCTATTTCTGACATTTTAAATTGAAAAATCTTCCTGGATGGAAGAGAAACGTCTTCAAACTTGGAGACAAAGTCCAGTGGATTGATTTTAACTTTTTTGGGACGACAATGACCTGGATGACTGAGAATCTTCACCAACTCTTCTCTGGTGTTCTGTCGTAAAGAAGAGGTTTGATGTTCTCATCACTTTACAGTTAAAGGATGGGGGTCCTTAAAAAGTGACGTGGTCCTTAGTTCAGACTGAGCAGCTCTTAGAACATGCACCAAGAACTTCATCATGCTCTCCAGAAGGTCCAGCATGTAGAAATGAAAAGTAGTCCAAGAAAAGTCAGTTCTACAATCATTGAAGGAATCCAACAGATGGACCGAAAAAGGTGCTTAAAAGAACATGCAATGCAAAGATCAAAGGAGACAATAAACTGTGAGGTTGTTCACAGCGGACCTGCAGAAAGCGTCTGACATCAGAGGATCCAGTTGAAGCAGAGAAAGGTCAAATAAAGACTTTAGTCCATCCAGGAGTTCTGCACACAAAGTCCAACCTGTCTCCATGGTTACACTGGTTGGTTAAGGCAATGAAGTCACCGTGAGGTTTACCTACTGACGTCTCTCTGAAGAAGATTCACCAATAAACCAAAACATTATGACCACTGAGACGTCTCATTAGCTGAGCTGTGTGGGAGGCTCCACATCCTCGGGGGGGCAGGAGACAACTGGCCAGTAAGGAGAAATGGTGGATTAGTAAACAAAGAGATTCCAGAACGGTCCGTATGGCAGCAGGTTTTCTTTCCAACCAAGCAATAGCCCCAGACTCCATTCATCTCATCAACTGAGTCCAATCTGAACATGATGAATTGATGGGATGAATGGAGTCTGGGGCTATTGCTTGTTTGGAAAGAAAACCTGCAGCCATACGGACCTTTCTGGAACCAGTTTGAGACCCCTGGTCTAGAGCTACAGGTAAAAAAAAGGTACTTAGACATTGATTAAGCTGGAGATATTGCTGATTAGATGATTTATCAGATTGGACTCTGGTTGGTTTGATTGTTTCGGGTTAATTTGAAGTAACCCAAAACCTGAATGGACTGGTTAATCAACTTAACCAGTCCATTCAGGTTTGTTGGATTAGTTGAGTTGGGTAATGAGATTAATCAGGGTTAGATTAGTTAGGGTTAGTGAGGTAGTTTGGGTAGATAACGTGGATCTATGCAGGATTGGTCAGGATTACATGGATGTAAACATGGAATAATCTGTGATTAAATCCTGAAAGGATCAGTTTAAAATAGTCATGAACCAGAATGCTGAGAAAACCTGGAGCCTAAAGGTGGCTTGGCTCTTCTCTCTGTTCAAACCAGAGCAGCTCATTGGATGCTAACATTAGCTCCACCTGCTATCATCACTCCTTCCTCTGCTCCTCTAAAAGACGCAATTCCAGAAATCTGGGACTCAATAGGCAGCGGGAAAATGGAGCTCTTTGTTTAAGATACCAGGAAACGATAGAAAGCGAATCATTGCTAACTGCTAAAGTTGCTAAGTTTAGCAGTTAGCATACACACCCCACACATTTAGAGGCATAGCATTGGGACAAAGAATAGGGAGTTAGAAAAAGGGGTCGGAATTAGCTTCATATAAACGATTAAAGAGGAATTCTATCCATCCATTTTCCATCATCCTTATTCCCGCTGGGGTGTTTGAGGGGTGCTGGTGCCCATCCCCATCTACGGGCGAGAGGCGGGGCCCACCCTGGACAGAGGGGCGGGGTCAATCCTGGACAGAGAGGAGGGGTCCACCCTGGACAGGTCTCCAGTCCATCGGAGGGCAACTCAGAGACAAACAGGACAAACAACCATTCAGACCTAAGGAGAATTTAGAGAAATAACCTAAGAATCATGTTTTTGGACTGTGGGAGGAAGCCGGAGTACCGGGTGAGAACCAACGCATGCTCAGGGAGAACATGCAGACTCCATGCAGAAAGACCCCGGGCCGGGAATCGAACCTGGACCAGCTGTGCTACCCACTGACCCACTGTGGAGCCCCACACAGGAATCAAGGTAATTCATTAAACAGGAATTAAAAGAAAATTTCAAAACGGCCGTAAATGGAAAGAAGCAGGATAGGACTGGTTTAATCAGGTTGGACCGGGTTGGACCGGGTTTGACCGGGTTGGACTGGTTTAATCAGGTTGGACCGGGTTGGACCGGGTTGGACCAGGTTGGACCGGGTTGGACCGGGTTGGACCGGGTTGGACCGGGTTGGACCGGGTCAGTCAGGCTTCTGTTGCTCTTAGTGCTCTCCTCAATGCTTTATGCTTCTGCGAGTGAAAAACAGCGTTGTGCATAATATCCAAGGACATATAGCTACAGCCAGGTGACCTTCATGCCATAGCGCTCAAAGGAATAATTTAAGCCCCGCCCCCTGTGTTCTTACCTTTCAAAATAAAGGTTCACATTAAACATATATATATTTTTTCAGGCGATCAAATTCCCAGTGTTGCACCATATTCTGTGATCTGTTTCTTATTGTGACTAAAGGAGGAACTTTATTCACACCAGTCTGTAATGTAGACTTTAAACAATAGATATGAAATAATCCATTAAAGCAAACAATGGCTTAAATCCGACTGCAGGTCATCCAATCGGTGTCAGGTTAGTCTGTCAGGGCTGCCTGTAGAGACTGAAACTGTCCAGCAGGTATCGGTATTTAGTGACACAGAGTCAACTTGATACGAAGGTGTCAAAACACGTCATGACGCCTCATGAACTGGCCACTAGATGGTGCTATTGCTGCTGTTGGTGAGACGTATCGTGTTCACTTCCTGTTCTGCCTGCTGAGCAGCGCGCTGTTCAGGCTATCTCCGTCTGAATTCAAGTCAAAGAGTCGAATTCAGCTGGTTTTCCTTAGATAGAAAACTTGACTGGATGATCTGGTTGAACTGGAAAGTGACCTGAGATGACATGATGTGAATTGGCGCTATAGAAATAAACTGAATAGAATTGAATAGTACTAATCCTAGTATCAACAGACCAATTCGTAAACCAAACTTATCATGCCACATTATTTTTTCCTTAAAACTAGTTTTGTGATAAAACAGGAATTAAACCAGGACATTTGATCGCCTGAAAAAGGCGATCGCTTCTTATCACTTAGAGAATATTTTGAAAAGGTAAGATTAAAGGGGGCGTGGCTAAAGTTTACCAGAAAAGCAACGTGAGACGAGTGCAATGCCACCAAGGTCACTAGGCCGTAGCCACTGATCAGTTCCTCAGTCTACAGGAACTGGAAGCTTGTGCCGTCTTTAAAAAGGAAGACTTCGTATTGCTACTCTGTGTCGTCATGAGGGTCATAAGTTGGGCTCTGGATCCTCCATCCCAAAGGGTGCAGGTATGACCTCAGTTTCCGTCTGCTGGAACTTCATCTCTGAAAGTTGTTGCGAGTGTAGCACATGGCCCTCTGGGATCAGCTTATTTGAGGAGGACCCCTCAGAGGACTCTTCCTCTCCTTGAGTCAGTTCACTGTAGGCTGCGTTTAAGACCACTGTTGGGAGGCTCCGCCTTCTACAGGGTGGAGCGGGTGTGGAGGAGGAGGAAGAAAGTAGGTGGGACATGGAGGAGAGGGAGGAAGAAGAGAAGAGGAGCAAAGCCTCAGAGCCTCCGTGTGGTGGAGAGGAGGCACCTTCGGGGGCTGGTTGTATTTCCTTCTTCTTCTGCTCTTCCTCCTCCCGGCCAGTCCCAGCCCAGAACGAGTGTCTTCTGCGGGGACCGGGGGACCGCTGGCGAGGCCGAGGTAACGTGAATGAGTTGAGCACCTCCTTGTGGTGGGAGCTCCAGCAGGGCGTGGACGTTTGTGGCAGGGAGTGTCTGTCAGAGGAGAGAGGCAGCTCCTGATAGATACTAAAGACTGCACCTCCCCCTCCATCACTGGACCTCCTGCTACTGGCAGACTGCCTTGACGAAAGCAGGGCAACTGGGCAAGTTCGGTACTTTGAGTCCAGACTCCTCGACTGAACGTAGTTAATGAGTCCGTTGAGTTGATTGGCCGACGGCGGATGGTTAGAGCCAGACGAGGAAGAATGAGGCTTTCGGACACTGTGGAGGTCAATGACGGTTGAGTAAATGTCCCGCAAGTTTATGACTTTTGTCTTCTTATCTCGGTTCTCATGCAGGACAGCGTTGGCACAGATGAAGAGGAAAATTCCAATCCCCATGATGAGCGGGCCAAAGACCTTCAGCTTGTCAGAGTACAGATACCTGCAGAGACACAGTGATTCAGAGACGGTTTACAGGTCATCTTAAACCAACCAAAGGAGAGAGATAAAACTGATCTGTTGGAAGGTCCTCAGTTCAACGTATAGCCGCCCTGATCTACGCTAACTGTTCATGACCACACAATGTTTTATAATGTTGCTTGGTGTGACAGTGTGGGGTCCTGCCACTATGCCTCCGATGGATCATGAGCCTGGCTGCTTGGCTAAGGGGGTGTCCCCCTGGCTGACTGGTCAGCAGACATGGCTTTCACCCCGGAGTCTGGGAATCAGGAACTCTGTTGCGTACCTTCGGACGCTTTTGTTTGAGTTACTGGATCAAAAACATTCTGTGTTAAAACCAAAAGTATTCCAAAGAAATGGCAACATTACGACATCGATATATCAAGAATAAACCAGTTGCCTCGGTTGCATAACCTGAAGAGGTTCTGGACACATCCTGCTCTCAACGGGCTTTGGAGTGTGTCACATGTTGAATAATCATTACTCAGAACTCCTATTTTTAGTGAAGCTGCAGAGGGAGCAGAAACTGTGGGCTTGCAAGGGATCATTTCCATATCACCATCTTTCCAAAGCCAAAGGTCCGACCATAACCTGCCTCCCTAAATAAACTGAGCGTCTGATATAATCTCAAATATCTGTCATGCATAATTCTAACTACATAATCCAGAACAGAAGTGACTTTAAAGGGCAGTGATGGGTAGAGAAATGATTTAATCTCCCAAAGAACCTCTGGAACCAGAACTAGGACCATTTCATTCCACCCTAACAGCATGTTGCCTTACAAACCCCTACAACCACATCTAGGATATTCAAAACATGCATAAACCAACTGATAGACCTTTTAAACTCCCTGAAAATGATGCCTGAGATATCCAGGTTTGTTTACCTTTCCAAGAAATCTTCCAGAAATCCTCGTGGAAGATGGTGATTGGTCCCATTGATAGCCTCTGTTTGGTTAAAAACATTTTCTTCTTTTCCTTCCTCATTTCTTTTATCTTCTCCCGCGTTGACTCTGTCATCTCTTTCTAGCTCCTCCCACCTGTTTTTTTCCTGATGCAGACAGAAAAATTCTCATCAGAACCTTCAGCAGAGCAGGTCTGTCAAACTGGCTCCAGGAAGCGCCATGTGGCGACTGGTTTTCCTTCCAACCAAACACCGATTGTCTCATCAAGTCATCATCTTAGTCTTCCTTTCTGGAACCAGTCTGACAGATCTGCTCTATAGAATCCTGGGTAATATTATAAACCTCAGAGACCTCTTTAAGATCTCAGGTAAACTCTCACCTGGACCTCAACAGTTGCTGGTGTTGGAGTTCTGAAGGCCATCAAGGCCATAGCGGCGCCCTCCTGATGCTGAGAGCTGAGGAACAGTCCATTGCGAGGCCAGTAGCCCAGAGCTGCCATCAGCACACCAACCAGCAGGACCAGGATCCCGAGCACAGCTACCAGTCCTGCGATGGAGCACAACTTTAACTTCCCCTTGACAACCACCACCTCGTTGCGTCTGGAAGAGAAGAGGAAATGGCAGAGGAGTCTTGGACTGCGTCTTGCAAAATGGTCTAAGTGGACCTTTAGCATAGGAAGCTTTAGCATAGGAAGCTCTTGATGTCCCTCACTGAGGCATGATGTAAAAGCAGCGAGCATCTCATGGATATTAATGATAATCTCTGGAGAGAAGAGAGCGTAAACTGACCACTACAGGTGGCTGTATTGCTGCAGGCAAATGTACCGAGCATCATTCATTGCCGTCTCAGCGAGAGAGCTTCAACTTGTGTTTTTTATGGTGTTCTTCTAGAAAGCTGTAGTCCCAAATTTGAAAAGCATCATGTATTTGCACCTCCTTTGAATAATGACGCAGGGGTTAAAGGTCAATCGACCTTTTCCAACTGAGGGTTCTTATTGTTGACCTTGTCCAAGGTGAGGTAACCAGGGGCAATAACCAGACTATCTCAGACAGAAATGGTGTTTGTTTTCTGATGGTTACCTTTTGTTTTTGTTCTTTTTCTTGTTTCCATGTGGTCTGTGCGGTTTGGACCTCAGAGAGTCTTGTCGCCGGGCGTTGATTCTCAGCAGGCCTCCTGTCGCAATCATCACAGGCCACCAATCAAACGGCGGCTGAGTGGGTCAGAACTCGCCCACTGCCGCCTCACCTGGAACAGATTAGACGCCTTTCATCAGAGGAACATCAAGTTAAGAAGGACCTGAAAAAAATAACCACAAAGTTCCACCCAGGATCAGAACCCAAGATGGACGGTGACCTCTGCAGACCTGATGCTTTTCAGGATCAAAACCCCCGAGTCACCCTGACCAATACAGACACATTGGTCCAAAATCAGAACCAATAAACCCCATGACCCTAACGGACCTGATATTGGTCAAAGATCAGAACCTGTGATGGACCGCAACCATTACAGACCTGATTCCTGCCCAGATTCAGAACCAATGAAGGTCTGTCAGCCTTTATAAACCAGAACATGACCTTTACAAAACTAATGTCTGTCAACAGTCAGAGACCAACAACTGAACATTAACCTTTGTAGACCTGTCCAGGTCTACAGTCCAGGTTTCTAGAGTGTAACCTATTGTTGGGACTTAAACCATCATAAATAGCTGTGAAACCTCTCTTCTCTGATCTCCAACCCCCTCTCAGCCCAACTTGCTCCTCAGGACACAATCACCAAACTGCTGCGAAACAGACCGTTTGCCTCACATTTCTCTCAGTGTCAGAACTTACAGAGTTGGACTGGAGGGGAAAGCCTCCAAAGGAAGCCGTTCCCTTGGTGTGAGCTAGCCTCGTGAGACCATCCTGATCTCGCAAGCTTTCAAGGTTTCACTCGCTAATCAGTCTGGAGACTCTCCGTTAAAGAAAATTTGGAGCCGTTCACCAAACGAACGTCCAATCAGCGTTGGCTTTGAGGCGGGTTGAGGTCTGACGCAACGAAAGAACATGGCGGCTTCAGCCGAAGAAACTAGCA